AAAAAGAAAAAAGAAAAAGAAAAGCAGAACTAGAAGATGGCCGAGGTTGCTACTGTTGCTGCTACTGCTGCTGGCAAGGTTACAGGGACCCTGTTTGCTCTAATTTTAAACCCAATTTGGAACAAAATCACACGTGTCTTCAAGTGGAGGCTAATGTTAAGAATTTGAAGGAAAATGTTTGGAAGCTGAAGGCTGAAAAGGAGAGAGTGCTGCAATTTAGGGATGACGCTGACAGATGTGGGAAAGAGGTAACACTAAGGGTCAACAATTGGCTGACTAGCTCAGACAAGTACATTGGAGAAATGGAGAAGTTCGAGAGTGACACTGACAATGCAAAGAAGTGTTTCGCCAGGGTGTGTCCTAATCCCAAGGGCCGTTTCCAAATTAGCAAGAAAGCAGAGGAGTATTTGGAGGCCATTGCTCAACTCCTTGAAGAAGCGGCCAGATTCAAGATCCCAGATTCTTATTTTCCTCCTTCACAGAAGATATCTGCGACACCTGTTCAAGGTTATGAGGACTTTGGAACTAGAACGTCTATTTTGAATGGTATTATGGAGGCCTTGAGAAGTGCTAGTGTTGACAAGATAGGTGTGTATGGGATGCCTGGTGTGGGCAAGACCATTTTAGCCCAAGAGGTTGCCAGACAAGCAGAGGAAGCCCAGTTATTTGACTCAATAGTTATGGCTTCTGTGAATAAGAATCCAGAGTTGAAAAGAATTCAAGGAGAAATTGCAGATAAATTAGGTCTACAGCTTCATGGGGAGACTGAATTTGGGAGGGCCTGTCAACTAAAGGCATATTTGAAACAGAAGAAGAGGATTCTTGTGATTTTAGATGATATCTGGACGAGACTAGAATTGGATAAACTTGGAATTCCTTTTGAGGTCAAGAAGAATGAGGCAAGTTCAACTGGAGAAGAACAGCTGCAATGCAAGATTCTATTCACATCTAGATTTCTCAATGTTTTATCATCTGACATGCGTACTCATAAAGATTTTGAAGTTGGCCGATTACAAGATGAAGAAGCATGGGAGCTTTTCAAGAAGATAGCTGGAAATGAAATTGAAAAGGTCTGACTTGCAGCTTACAGCAATGGAAATTACCAAAGAATGTGCTGGATTGCCCCTGGCTGTGGACACACTTGCAACTGCTCTAAAATGTAGGAGTTCTCATGCATGGAGGGATGCTTTGCGAGAACTAAAAAGGCCCTCTCCAAGTAACTTTGAAGGCATATCAGAAAATGTTTATCGGGCCATAGAAATGAGTTACAAGCACTTAGAAAGAAAAGATCTCCAACAAACTTTCTTGCTTTCTAGCTTGTTGGGACACAATGCTTCTATTGAAGACTTGATGAAATATGGTATTGGCTTGGACTTGTTCCATAATGTCATGACCACAGGAGAAGCACGAGACAAAGTACTAACATTGGTTAGTAATCTAAAGTCCAGTTCTTTACTGCTCAATGGTTGTGACGATATTCATTTTGACATGCACGATATTGTACGTGATGTTGCCATATCAATTGCGTCAAGGGACCACCATGTCTTATCATTAACAGATGACTATGTACCGAGAGAGTGGTCAGAAAGGGGAGCATTGGAAGGTTTCAAATGGATTAGCCTACAATATGCCAATATCAGTGAGCTCCCTGATGAGTTGGAATGTCCACAGCTTACCTTATTTTGTTTTTGCAGCAAGGATCCTTTTATGAAAATTCCAGGGAGCTTCTTTCAGAGAACAGAAGAACTCAGAGTCTTGAATTTCAGTAAGATGCATTTCTCATCTTTGCCTTCATCAATTTGCCTCATAAAAAGCCTTCATACATTACATGTGAATGAATGTGTTTTGGAAGACATTGGTATTATTGGAAAGCTAATGAGTTTGAAAGTCCTTAGCCTTTCAGGCTGTGATATTGAAGAGCTGCCAATGGAAATTAGGCAATTAACCCAGCTAAAGCTGTTAGATTTGAGTGACTGTGCCAAACTCAAAGTGATTCGACCCCATGTCTTAGCAAGTTTGTCGAGACTAGAAGAATTATATCTGGGAAACAGTTTCAATCAATGGGGCATTGGAGAAAATGGAAGTCAAAGAAATGCTAGCCTTGCTGAGTTGAAGGATTTGCATAACCTGGCTGCTTTAGATGTACATGTATGTGATGTCCAGCTTATTCCAGAAGACTTGTTTTCTGAAAGATTGAATAGATACAAGATTTTCATAGGGGAGGTGTGGAATCACTGGGACAGTTCCTTCAAAAGCTCAAAAATATTGAAGCTGGAGCCGAATAGCTTTAATTATGATCATTCAATTGGCATGTTGTTGAAGAAAACAGAAGAACTACATCTAAAAGAATTGACAGGTTTCAAGAATTTAGTTTATGAGTTGGATGCTGAAGGTTTTCAGAAATTAAAGTATCTCTGCATCCAAAATGCTGCAGAGGTTCAACATATCATCAATTCAGTGAAGTGGGTTCTTTGCCATGCATTTCCTGTCTTGTAATCACTTCTTCTTAATTTGAATAATTTGGTGACGATATGTCATGGCCAGCTTGGAGCAATGTCGCTTAGCAGATTAAGAATTATAAAGGTTGAATGTTGTAATCAGCTGAAGAATATGTTTCCATTTTCTATAGCTAGGCAGCTTCTCCAACTCAAAGAAATTAGAGTAATGGACTGCAGCAACATGGTGGAGATTGTTGATAAGGAGGGCCAAGGGACCGGTAACAATATTGTAGAAGCAAATGAAAATTTTGAACTAGTCCAGCTACGGTCCTTGAAATTGGAATATTTGCCCAAATTTATTAGCTTATGCCATGGAAATGAAGAATCAAATAATTCAAGCTCCAACAGTACCAATCCACTTTTCGATAAAAAGGTATTTAATGTTTCTTGCATTCAGTACGTAAACACTAAACAGGGTAATTGCTAGTAATTTAGTGGAGATCAATTGGGTGCTATACTATTGCAGTGACAAATTGTGTGTTATAAGTAAATATTTGACCTTGCTTGAGATTAAAAATACTGTTTATAAGAATGAGCAAAGAAGCATGTGGAATAGAAGGGAATAAAATTTTGCTAGCCAACATTGACTGAATAATCAATCAAATCGATTGTGCTGCTCTGGGCTGGCAAGATCCGCACTCTTTGCGCAGAGGTTGACTTCCATGCACCATTTTTTTTTTTTGTGACTTCTATGCGCAGTTTTTGACTTTTTGTTTCATTTTCTTTTTAAATTCATGGTGCTTCTGCTCATTTGCATTTTTTTTTTTCTGAAAATCTATGGGAACACAGGAAAACTGCTGTTATTAGCTCTCTATCACTTTCCAATTTCCGTTTTTCTTATGTTGAGATAAGGATACAACTCTAATTGCTGTTTCTGCAGGCTCCTACCTTCTCATCTTTGCCATCTGATTCTGCCACCTGTTGGTTCTCTCAAACTAGCTTTTCTGTTTGATAATCTTTCAAATTCTACATTCTTGATCATTTCATTTGTTTCGCTTCTCCAAGTTCTTCTGTTTATTGCCTCTAGATTTTCGCATTCTTTCACAAAACAAAAAAAAAAAAAAAGAAAAAAGAAAAAAAGGAAAACGTTCTTCCATCTACTTTTATTGTCTTCAACTAAACCTCTCTCTCACTTCTACTCTTGACGTTTTATTCATTTAGTAGTTGTTCTTTTCTTGTCTCTGTTGTTCCATTATCTGGTTTGTCTTTCATATATTTTTCAAAACCCAAAAAAGAAAAAAGAAAAAGAAAAGCAGAACTAGTAGATGGCCGATGTTGCTACTGTTGCTGCTACTGCTGCTGGCAAGGTTACAGGGACCCTGATTGCTCTTATTTTAAATCCAATTTGGAACCAAATCACACGTGTCTTCAAGTTGGAGGCTAATGTTAAGAATTTGAAGGAAAATGTTCGGAAGCTGGAGGCTGAAAAGAAGAGGGTGCTGCAATTTAAGGATGATGCTGACAAATGTGGGAACGAGGTCACACTAAGGGTCAACAATTGGCTGACTAGCTCAGACAAGTACATTGGAGAAATGGAGAAGTTCGAGATTGACACTGACAATGCGAAGAAGTGTTTCGCCAGGGTGTGTCCTAATCCCAAGGCCCGTTACCAAATTAGCAAGAAGGTAGAGGAGTATTTGGAGGACATTGCTCAACTACTTGAAGAAGCTACCAGAATCAAGATCCCAGTTTCAAACAAGACGATTGAAAAGAAACAAACTTTAAGACAAATACATCCTCAAAAACATAAATTTACAAAATAAACAAATGGGTACTTCAAATTTGTATCACAAACAAAAAAGAGAAGTTATAAATAAAGAACCTGGAGCTGCTTTTCATTGTTGGATTCAGATTGTTCTTGAACAGGAGGAGGGGTAGGAGGAGAGGCTTTTGCCTTATTCTCAGTTCTAGCAAGAACTCGGTCTCCAACCAATCTTGGGACTCTAATTCTACAAAAAAGGGATCCAAACTTGGCAAATAGCACAGTGACGGAAGAGGTTTAGGAGAGCGGTTTTTGAGTCGATGTAGTTGTGAAAACTGGGTCCCAATGGATAAGGTAGCCATTTGAGCAATGGTTTAATGAAGAACTGGATTGCTGGGCAGGGGAGAGGATGATGGAAAAGGAGAGGGTCCTTTTGGCGTAGTGTTGAATGAATAATGTTGCTGTGATTGGTCTTTTTCGCCGCAAGCTCTGCATGGAAGCAGCGAAAATGGAAGTGTAGGACTAGTAAAACGAATTTCTTGGAGGTATCAAATTTTGTTGGAATCAGATCAAGTTTTTGCGTTCTTCTTTTTCAAAAATCAGTTTTCTAGATGAAAAATGCAATTTAATGTAATAAACAACGGGGAAAACTCCTGCGCACCAACTCCTCTTTAGGGTTTGGGGGTGGCGGCACCTCCCTAGGGATTCCTTTCCGGTTTTCGAAGCCTCTCTTTCCCCTTCATGCTTCGACCTCCTTCTTCTGATTCAATTCCCATCACCCATAAACTATAGTCTCGCTTGGGACACAACTTGCTCACTTTGTGCGTGGTTTATCGGTCCAGAAGGTGCGCAGTGGAACGAAAACCCCAGAGGCAATAGCTGAAGACGTTGGGGCTATGATGAGTCGCAAACGGCTCACGGAGGACGCTGATGGTATCCTCCCTCTGAATGAGGCTTAGAAACATGGTCACCAGATGGGGAAGCTCTGCCTTGTCGGTAAGGTACTTCCTCGTAAAAGAATCAATTTTAATGGCTTTCATGATGCGTTGCTGGCCTCTTGGAATCTCAAACAATCCATTAAAATTTTTGAAATTGGTGAAAAGATTTATCTATTTCAATTTTCAGATGCTGGAGATCTCAATAAAGTTTTGCATAAGGCTTTATGGAATTTCAACAATTCTCTCATTATCCTGAAAAGATTTCACGCCTCGTTCTCCTCAGAGCAGTATGATTTTTCCACAAATCTCTTTTGGGTTCGCATCTTCGATGTCCTTATTGGCCTTCATACAAACAAAATTGGGCGCATGATTTGTAATTCTCTAGGCAAAGTGCTAGAGGTAGATGATGGTTTTCGCAAAGCTATTCGAGTTAAGATTGAACTAGAAATCAATAAACCTCTTAAAAGATTCATGACCTCTTAAAAGATTCAAGACCTCTCAAATAACAGCCACAGAATGTAGAAAATTGAGACTCAAGTATGAAAGATTGCCTGAATTTTGTTTTGTTTGTGGTTGCATAGGACACCTTAAAAACGATTGTGAGGTTGCTTTTCATATAAAGAAATTGGGGGAACGGTGATACGACGTTTTGGCCCTTGGTTAAAGGCTGAACTAGAGAATCTATGGTGTCTAGATAATATTGATGAGCTTGACATGGCCTTCTCAGATAGCTCTCGGCCCTTATTCAATGAAAAAGACAAGGATGTCGAGGTGAATTCTAAGCCTAATCACCTACTTGATGATAGTACTATTCAAAACAATCCCATTAATATAGAACACAATGGTGGTAGTCGTCCAGATGAGGGGGCTAAGAAAGGTGGTAAGGGTCAAGTCGAGTAAGGGAACCAACTTATGCTTGATCCAATAACTGGTGCTCTAGATACTTTAGGGGTAGACATCGTGCTTGAAGTCCCTTTAAGCCAATAATTTGGTTCTATCAGAGGTGAGAATAAGAAAAGGGGTGGCTTGGGTAGTGGCAAATGGAAGAGGTTAGACCACAATTTTGCAAACTCCTCCAGGAAAGATAGGGAAAAGCATGGTAAGCGGAAGCTCCAAACTACTCTCGTAGCGAAAGAAAGGGCTTTGAAAGTATTAGTTGATAATTCAAGGGTGGCTGTCACTGGAAGGAGTGAGGGTCATAACCTGTCTCCAGGATGAGTTCTCTAGTTTGTGGGACGACATTCAGCAGAATGGGGACTGTTGGTGCCAAAAAATCCCTACTCTCCTCGCGAAACTGGTTTAACAAGTGTGAATGTCCAATAGCTCTTGATGCTCATAATGACTTTCTTTCTACTTTGGTAGCCTTATTATGTCCATACAGTGATTGTTTAAGGCAATCTCTAAGTATAGATGACGCTCTTTACGTAATTGACTAGATTCGTCATGGGTATAGTTTAAATCTGTAATTAGTGCTGTAGGTTATACTTCTATTTTTTGGCTATAGTGCCATATTATAGAGATTATACTGATGTCCACTTTATTTTAATGATATCTCTATTTTTATCAAAAAAAAAAAAAGAAAATGTAATAAACGACGGGATGTCATGTTGGGCGTTGGCTATGGCCAAACAATCAACTATTAAGGTTAGACAAGATATTATAAATGTGTATATTTACTTGATTTTATAGCTTTTTTATAGTTGTAATTTTAAGTTTTTAATTTTTATTTTGTATATTCAGTAAATATTATTGTATTTAAAATTAACTTTTTTTATAAAAATTAAAATTTATTTAATTCAATCAAAATGTAGTATTAATTACTAAATTACTAAATATATAAAAACTAAAAACCATAA